GGGGAGCTGGAGCAGCAGCCGCCGGGGCAGCCTGGTGAGTGCTTGGGCCCCTCTTTGCCAAGGGAGCTCGGGTGGCTCTGGCAGCCCCTCTGTAGGATTCCCCCATTTTCACATCACTCTACACGGCCCTGTACCCATCCCCCTGAGCGCTGGAGCCTGCTGGGCTGTCCATGACCCCGACCCTTTACATAGTGGGGAGGGACCAACAGCTCAGGGAGCCCTGGTCTGGGATGGGGACGGGCCTCTGAGGGGTGACGGGGTCCAGGGCTCGGAGGGCCCTCTGAGGTGGGGACGGTGCCCACGATGGGTGAGGGGTGGTGCTGGTCCTGTGATGGGTGAGTTGGGGTTCCCGCAATGGGGTGGGTGGCACTGGCCCCGTGAGGGGTGGGGTTCCCGCAATGGGGTGGGTGGCACTGGCCCCGTGAGGGGTGGGGTGCCTGCGATGGGGTGGGTGGCACTGGCCCCGTGAGAGTTGGGGTGTCTGCGATGGGGTGGGTGGCACTGGCCTCGTGAGGGTGCTGCCCTCTCACTGCTCACCCACTTCCCAGAACATGGAGCCGATCTCCCCGGAGCTGGGCAGCAGGAAAGACCCGCTGGCCGAGGGGGCAGGGGGGACGGGCCGGGCCAGCCCCGAGCCCGGGGTTCTCCTGCCCCCCCAGGAGCAGAGCGACGTGGACTCTGTGCACCAGCAGCACAATTTCCTGTGCAGGTGAGAGCACCCGGGGTGGGGGAGGGCTGGCCTCGATGGGTGTAGGGGGAAGGCATGGGGGGAGGGAAGGAGGAGGGGTGACCCCTACACAGGAGGCCACTGGCAGGATTGGAGCAATGGCTCTGGGCCTTATGGCAGGGCTCACCCCTGTCAGGGGCAGGAGATTGACCGCGTGAGACAGCTGCACCCCAACACCATGGGAGCAGCACCATGTGGACATGCACAGAACCAGACCCCAGCCCTGGGGCCGGATAGGAGCCGGCGCCCCCTGGAGGGGAAAGGCCCCGTGTCCCATTCCCCACTCCCCGAGCCTGCCAGTCCCCCTGCCCTGGGGCTGGATCAGAGCCAGTGCCCCCCGGAGGGGAAAGGCCCCGTGTCCCATTCCCCACTCCCCGAGCCTGCCAGTCCCCCTGCCCTGGGGCTGGATCAGAGCCGGTGCCCCCTGGAGGGGAAAGGCCCCGTGTCCCGTCCCGGTGCCCACTGGAGCCTGCTTTTCTGTCCTCTCCAGCCTGCAGGCCAGCGTCCCCCAGGGGGATGTGGAGCTGCGGCGCAGCAGCTACTCCTCGGGCTCAGCGCTGGACGGGGGCGAGGGCGCGGCCGCCCGCCTCGACTTCAAGGTGTCCGGCTTCTTCCTGTTCGGCTCGCCGCTGGGGCTGGTGCTAGCGCTGCGCAAGACGGTTATGCCAGCCTTGGATGGTGAGGGTCCCCCCGCGCCAGCCTGCCCCGGCCCCTGCACCCCCACAGAGCTCCCCCAGGTCTGACACCGGGCCTCCTCTCTTCCTTCAGCGCTGACCCCCCCC